CCTCATTGTGTTTTCCTAGGATATTGTTTGAAATTTTTTGGAGTGCTGGTTTGGTATTCATAAACTTCCTAAGGTGCTTTGTCAAGAAAGTATCTTATTTCTCTATTAATTTTGAAAGATAGTTTTGCAGGGTACATCAATCTGGATTGGAGGTTGTTTTCCTTTAGGGCTTGAAATACGTCACTCCAAGCTCTTCTTCCCTTGATGGTTTGTGTTGAGAAGTCTGCTGTGATTCTAATGGGCTTTCCTTTGTATGTGATTTGTTTCTTTTCTCTAAATCTTTGTAGAATTTTGTTCTTCTGTTGGTTTTCTGGAACTTTAACTATTATATGCCAATGTGTCAATTTTTTTTGATCAAGGCTAGTTAGAGTTCTATATGCCTCACTTACCTGTATGTTAAGTTCTTTTCCCCTGCTTGGGAAGGTTTTTCCCATCACTTCTGTGAACAGTTTTTTATGTCATCTGCACTCTCTCCTGCTCCTCATTGACCTTGACCAGTCTTATATTATTCTTCTTTGCATCATCTAGCAGCTACTGGATTGATTACTCATGATCTCTTATAATTTTAAAGAAATTTTTCTTTTCCTGGTCACTATTTGCAATCCTGTCTTCTATTTCTGAAATTCTGTCCTTACAATAACTCATTCTTCTGCATAAACTTTCAGTGGAGTGTTATTCTCCTGAAAATCTGTTTACATCTGTTTTATGGATTCCATTTCTTTCCTATGTTGGTATTCCATCATTCTCATCAGCTCCTCTATTTTTTATCTGTGTCTGCTCTATATTTATTAATCATGTCTTGCACTATGGACACAATCTCTGTTGTTATCTGAGAAATTATTTCTGATTTCATTTTTTCCAGATCCTCTTTTGTTGCCAGTTCAAGGAGTCCAGGTGGTTGAGTGTCAGATTGTTCCATCTCATTTCCCTTTGGGGTTGCATTAGGTGATCTGGAATTCTGGTTTTGAGACTTGTTTATGTGTCTTCTCATTTTAACTGATGCAGCCAGTTGTGCCTTTGTTGAGGCAATTTTTGCTCACCCAGTGGTGTTCAATTCTCAGTGAACCACTGAGCAGCCTTTCCTCTGCTGCTCAGCAGTGTATCACTTCCTGGGTTCCGAATAGTTGCCTTCTGGATCCCTAAGCTGACCTGTTATCTTTGTTGGCCTCTGGTTGGCCTGTGTTCACACTTGGGATGTTATCTATGCACACCTCTGCCTAGGGCCTGCCCCCCTATGTAGTTGCTGTCTAGAAGATCCTTTGGCTGGGGCCCATGTACCCCAGACCATTGTGACTGAGCAGGCTTCTGGCTAGGGTCTCCACACACTTACTGATGGTATTGGGGCAAGCCTCTGGCTGTTGCTTGTGTGCCTGTGCAGCTCTATTCCAGGTGGGCCCTTGGCTTGGGTCTGTTTGCCCAAGCAGTGGGGGTTTGGGTCAGGGCCCTGACTGGAATCTGCCTGCAGCCAAGATATTTTTGATATATGGTTTTCACCTTGAAATGAACTCATGACTGTATCAAAGCCAACACTTGAGAGATGTCATCCAGCAAAGGCACCAAACCCAGAGTGAAGTGCCCACCCATGAGCTGCAGGACCTCAAATCTCAGCCAGGAGCTGGTGTCAAGTCAGAATTCCTCACAGTACAGAAACCACCTCAGGGCATGCCTGTTCCTCAAGTGACCATGACCATGACTCAGCCCCATGCTCCAAGCATTGATTCTCCCACTTTCCTTCTCTTTTACATTTAGATTTCTACCCAATTGGGAATCTATATGGTCTATATTATGAGATATAGATCTAACTTCTATATTTCCCTAATGTCTTTCAGGTTACTCTATATCATTTATAAGAAAGGTTGTATTTTCCTCAGAGCCTTCAAATGTGAACATTATCATAGACTTGATTTCCCCATGTAGCTGAATCTATCTCTTTCACCTTTCTATTCTCTTCTATCTAGAGACTTGAGTCAATATATTAATGAGCCAATATTTTAATGATAGAGGCCAGAAAATATATTTAATTTTTTCAAGCTTGATTTTAGAGGCCCTCAATCTGCCTTTCCAATGGTTTTACTGTGATCTTCTTACCCAGATTTAAAAAAAATTGTATGTTTATTCTTTCATGCTTCTGTTTCACTCAAGAAAAAATGTTGCCATTTTAGTAGAAATTTTTATCATGTTGTGACATCCTATTCAAGAAAGAGGAATGATTTTTTTTCTTTTAGTTTAAATTATTTTTGTATCTTTGGGAGTGTTTTAGGGTTTTTTTATATAGATTTTATCAATTTCCTAAATTTCTCCATAGGTAATTCTTCCCAATCTATAAAGTATACTAGTTGCTGTGTGTTAATATAGTATTTAGATACATTAATATTCTATTGTATTATTTGTATTAAATTTCATGTGGATTGTTAGTTTTTGCAAGAATGGTATCATATCATCTGCAAAAGAAAGGTTTTTTTTCTGTGAGATGAAGAATGATGCCTCCTTAAGAAGCTCTAATTTCCATAATCTACAAATATGTTATCTTAATGGCAAAAGGGATTTCACAGGTGTGATTAAGTCACTCCTGGATAAGTACACTATCATTTAGGATGTGGGGATTATTCAGGAGAACTCTGAATTATGGTCATTCTTAAAAAAAATGTTGCCTTTCTAAAATCAGGAGTCAGTAAGTGGGTACAGGTCTGGATTGTGTGAGCTAATCAGAGCTGCTTTAAATCTGGTTCTTAGTACTTTATTAAAACATAAGACTAGTGTTCAAGGTGAAGGGTGAAGGGTGGGTTTTTTTAAGGTATCTTATTAAAAGGCCCTAGAAAATTGAAAAATGGAGGGGGGGAATGTGATCCAGCTGTCCCATTATAGAAACTATGGTTTAAAGGCGGTCCAAAATGAGGAACCCAAAAAAAAGGGATCTGTTCTGGGGTAAATTAATGTGAAACAAGTGGGAGAAAATATGCAGAAATAAGAAACAAGGCTGAATAAGTAGAGATTACTGTCCAGATGGCGACCACTCTTTAAGGATGAATAAAAGAAAATGCCAGTACTGTGTGTCTGTTTTTGTCTGCCTTTGTCTGCCTTGAGGACTAAGACTTATGAACAGGTGCAGAAAATAAATCCTCTTTTGCAACCCAGAACTCATTGTTCAGTGTGAGATTTGATACATAGAAGAAGGAACATTTCCGCCAGGCACAGGAGTGCCACCTGTGATCCTGGGACTCCTGAGGCTGAGGCAAAAGGAAAGAAGCTTGGACTATACAGTGAGACTCTGCCTCAGAAAACAAAGCAAAAACAAAAACAAAAATATGATACCTAGTACAGATTGGAGTGATGGAAGGTGTTGATAGACATTATGTTTGGTTCTGAGACTAAAGAGTTAATTATACAACACAGGATATGGAGGAAAATCTCAGCTCTATAAATTTACTATTCCAGTTTTTATCTTGTGATACACAAAAGTAGCTATTTTTCTTTCTTAAAGGCTTCTGTCTTAAACATGGGGCTTGAGTTAAAGATGTATCTCACTGTGTGTTTGGATCATGTTTGTTTAAATGTATTAAGTAATAACATCAGACTAAAATTCATACCAGTTTTAATAAAAGATTGTTAGCTTTCTTTTAAAAAAGGAAATACCATTATTGAGCTTGTTTTTTATGCCAGGCATTCGATTGGGTATTTTAATATATTTCAATTTAATCATTATTTTGACCAAAATTTCTTTTGAATGTCACATATCTGCTGCTTAAAATAGATCTTAATTTTAGACAGTTTTAAAATTACAAATATTTGAGAAGGTAGTATAGAATTTCCTTATACTTCTTCCTTCTTTGGTTCTTCCCTTTTAAAGGTCTTGTACTCCTAATAATCTGAGCATCTGATTCAGAGAGGATCCAGTTAACAAATCTGATACTAGTGCCAGGTGTGGTAGTGCAAACCTGCAATTCCAATACTGAGGAGGTGGAGGCAGGAGGATTGTTGCAAGTTCAAAGCCAGCTTGGACTACATAGTGAGTTCAAGTCCAGTCTGCACTACAAAGTGAGACCTTGTCTCAAGAACAAAACTAACAAGCAAACAGAACAAATTTGACACTAGTCACAAAGTGCTACATAATTCATGAAGCCTGGTGTAAAATGAAAATGTAAATAACCTTATTTAAAAGTTATTAAGAATTTCCACTGACAAGAGCAGCAGAGCATTAAAGCAAGCATAGGACTCTTCTAAGCGTAGGCTCTATATGGTTGCATAGATCTCATGCCCTGCTATAAGAAGTTGTGCATGAAACCAAATGAAGAGATAGTGTTAAGGGATTGGATCATTCACTGATTACTTGGTGCCGAGTGATTGATCCTAGGTAATGCATGGAGCACAATCCTCTCTGGTACTCTGTGTAGTCTGCCTTAATCTTTTGCTGGTGGTAATTTGAAAGAATGCTCTGGCAGAAGGAAGTACACTGACCTGTGTAATGCTTCAAGTGAAAGTAAGGGGTGGTTTGTGTGTGTGGAAGGGAGCAATGCATGTAAAGGAATAGAACTGGCTGAGTGTTACTAAATCACATTGATGTCCTACATAAGAATAATGAAAAGCAGTGAGCTGAATAAAAAATTTAAAGTGTGATGAGCAGAGAGCCATTTTGGCAGCTTGAAAAGAGGCTTTATGCCTTATAGTTAAAGAAAATAAAATGGTGAAGATAAAACTCAGAATGTAAAAGTTTGAATTTCCAAGCTGCAGAAAACCCAGTCAAGGCCACAAATGGAAAAACCTAGGACTCTGGAACATGTCATGACTACATCTGAATAGATGCCCATTCCCAAGGCCATACTCCTCCCTATTAAAATTAGCACTCTGTGCACAGGACACTAAGTGGCTATGGATCCTGAATTTCATATCTTGACTTGGGTTCTGTTGGACTTAGTCAGAAATTGAGGCAGGTCAAACCGTATCCTATGTACAGTGTAAATGATACATATGAGGTCAGGCCTGAGCAGGAGCAGAGCTGCATGTATAGGTAGCCCAGACCTGGGTGTTATCTACCACAGTTTCACAAGTGGCCCTCAGGTCGTGTCTGTGTTCAGAGGGAGGAGGCCTGGATGATCAGCTAAAGGAAAAGTAAAGAACTTGACCAGGGTTTATAACTCCTGCTCAGTGTTTCGGTACAAGCCAAAAATAGACAGTAGCTGCTTTTCAGCCACAATCAGCAGTGAGCTTGCAAGGGATATATGATCAGGCACTCTATGTAGAAGAAAGAGATTCTATGAGATAAGACCTACAGGCAACAAAGAATGACATAGCTAGATGATCAGAATCCTACAAAGAAAAAAAAATGAAGAGGAGACTGGAGGTCTAGAGTAGAGATGTAAGGGTAGGTGGATGGTAGTGGGCACATAGCATCACGTATTAACACCCACCAGAATGCATTGCTCTGCTAACCAAGAATTAGGGGAGACCCACATGAACTAAGCTCCTGAACTAGGCTCCAACAACCACATCAAACCAAAATGATATAACTCATGCAAGAAGGTAATAATCAAACTGAAGTTTCAAGGTATCAGATAATTCTCCACATAGATTAATTTTGCTATAAATAAGAGATTCCATCCCTCTTGAGTTAGAGTAATAAGAAAATTATCCTGCTTTATTCCTTACCAACAAAGAGTAAACTGAAGTAACCTATTGTTAATCAATCAGGTTTTCAATCTATTATTTGTTTTCCTTATTCAAACCTTACAAAACCTTGCTGCTAGCGTCCAGTGGGAACTCTCAAGAATGGAGACAGGGCCAATTCATGAATTATGAATAAAAGCCAGTTAAATCTATAATTTATTTGTTATAATTGTCTTTTGATACTAAGTTGAAGAGCCAAATAGACAAAATGACATGCCCTATGTGTTATCCAGCCAGAGTAAGGATACTGGGCATGTGAACAAAGTGACCATAATGGCAGAGATGGAGGCCTCAGGAAGAATGAACTATCACTGGCCAATGCCAGTCTCATTGAGTCCCTTTGTTAACCGCATTGACTGAGGAGGGAACTTCCTGGCAGAGCCATAAGACCAATTTCCTGCATAACTAAGGGTAGATAACTAAAAATCTAATTTAATTCCCCAATTTTACTGTAACATTTTACTACAAATTTAACAGAATAAAACAGATTTATCATCTTTCATACTGGGGTGAGAAGTCTAAAATGGATCTTTGTAGGCTAAAATAAACAAGTTGATAAGAGTTGGGAAGTGATGATTCAATATAACACCATATTCTTTTCTTATTGAGTCTGTAACAAACTCCCATATACAGAGTGGCATAAAACAATACAAATGTATTATTTTACAAATTTTAAGCTCGAGAAAACTAAATGGTTTTTCAAAGCTGAATTCAACATGTCAGCAGGTCTGGATTCCTTCTGGGGGTCTCCATAGGATGGTCTTTTCCAGCTTTTCCTTCTCCAGCTTCTAGGCCAGCTGGATTCCTGGCTGACGTCCCTTCCATTGTCACAGAGAGCAGTATAAAATCATCCTGTCTCGGGCCTGGGATTTGGCTCAGTGGTTTCGCCACCTGCTGTGCAAGCGCAAGGACCCAAGTTCATTTCCTGGTACAAAAAAGAAATCATCATGTCTCTTTCAGACTCTGACTCTTCCACCTTTCTCTTTTGCTGCACAAGAAGTTATACATAAAAGTGTATAGAAACTCGTGATTACATGGGGTCCACCTAACTTATCCAGAATATCCTCTCATCTCAAGACTCTTAACTATTCCCATCTGAAAAGTCCCTTCTACCATGTAAAATAATATATTGATAGGGTCCCAGATTTTCTAGAGGGTAGCTATCTAAGAGAGTCACTTAAATCTACATGCATGGAATGCACTTTGTTATGTTAATTGACTGAGGTTTCAAGGACATTTATCAAGGCAAAATTCAACTTCTAATTCACATGGTTAAGTGGAACACAGCTGTAACCTCTATTACTTGTTAATATACCTTAGAATTCTGACTCAGGTATCAGCAAAAACAACAAAAAGTTAGATCCATATATATGCGGTCATATATTGGAACTATAAACATATGATAAAACTATTTTAATCATATTTAATGAAATAAAGGAAAGAATGCATGTATTTAAATGTGATGAATAGAGTTAACTTGAAAATGTCTGCAGGGAACAAAATATTTTAAAAAATGACATTGCCAATTTGAAGAACTGAATAGCAGATGCTCTAGAAATACATATAAAGTAATCAAAATAAAGACAGTAACAGAGAAAATAGAGACCTGGACACAAAAGAAAAGAGTCTTTGAACTGGCAAATACAGAAGAAGAATGACAATGAGGAATCAAAGAATGAGAGGATGGGGAGAAGAGTGGATTAACGACATGGAGGATAACTACAATAGAAATACTGGAAGAAAACTGCAAAACAACAAAAGAAAAAACAATATTAAAAACAACCAAAAACATAGATACACTGCTTTCAAAATAAACATACACCTAATCTTTATAGGCATAATAAAAGTAAAATGTCAATTAAACTACATCTTCAATAGGTTAAAGGATAGTGTTCAACCTACTATTTTACATCTTTCCAAATGTGGCAAAATTCCATTTTCAGATGAGAAACACTGTAGTGCTCACTAGCAGCACTTACTAATAATAATTCTGTATATACTGTATAGAGAAAATGATTCCAGATTAAGTTTTTGGCTATGAGAATATTGATCATATTAAACAAAAGTAATGTGTAGTCGAGTCTCAAGTTGTTTCAGTATTTTTTTTTTTTTTTTTTGGTACTGGGGATCCAAACTCAGGACCTTATACTTGTGAGATAGGCAGTGGAACCACTGAGTTAAATCCCCGGACTGTGTTGTTTAAGTATTGAAATAATGCATAGGATATTTTCTTATAACAGCTGAATTAAGCTGAATTGAACACATTACAATTAAATTCAAAATTGAGGAATATATTTTAAAATAACTCATTGGGCAATGCAAAGGTCATAATGGAAGCAAAGAGTATCACAAACTGAAAAATGGTTACAGTATAAAGGACATTAAGCAGTACTCAGAGGAAAAAAATCATAGCCCTAAATGTATATCTTAAAAATAAAATTGAAATTTAATACTTAAGCACCTACAGTAAGATACTGTTAAAATAACAACAGAAAAAAGTGAACGAAACTATGAGAAAGGAAATAAAAATGATAAGAACAAAATAAGTGAAAAATAATATTCAGAACACAGATGAACAACAAAGTCAAAAGTTGGTTCTATAAAAAGATTAATAAAATTTGAAAACTTACATATTGAGTAAATCAAGAACAAAATAAAGGAAATCACAACAAATATCAAGCTGGGGTGAATATTAAATAGACAATAAGGTTGTTAGTTTAAAATATTTATATGTTTAAATAACTAGAAAAAAGAAGAATAAATATGAATAGTCTTATTACCATTTAAAAAAGGAATCAATCGCTAAACATCTTCTCACAAATAAAATTCCAACAACATATGACTTCACTGACAAGATGTAATAAACAGAAGAAATCTAATCTCACACCAATCATTCCAGAAAAAAATAAATAAATAACATATCTCAACTCATGAGGTTAGCATAACTGTGATATCATTAAACATTGTTTAAAAAAAGAAAATTAGAGGTAAACTTCACTTTTAACACATTTGCAGGACTATAAGCCAAAGATTTCATAATACATATAAAGGATAATATATCATGAAAATATTTTGCTTACCCTGGGACAGGATTTGGTGACATTTAAAAAATGGCTTGATATCAAAATTTAATTCACTGTATTTTGGCACAAGAACAAGTTAAGGAAGAAAAAATTCTTGAGTTTATCTTGGTAGATGCAGAGAAAATCTTTGAAGAAATTGACCATCATTCATATTAACAAGTCTTAGGAAATTAGAGAAAAAAGAATTGTGTTTATTTAAGAAAGTATATTTACAATATAACTGAAAGCATACCTCACATTTATTGATGTGCTGAATAAATAATTTTTATTACAGGGGTCTAAAGAACAACGTCCAGAATCTCCTGTTCAGTGCTGAGCTGAAGGCACAAAGAAGAGAAAGCAGTGATTCAAAAAAAAAGCAATGACAAATGTAACAACTGGAAATGAAGAAACAAAACTATCACTATTTGTGGTTTACTTGACAGCACACAAAGAAAATCCAGAAGAATCTATAGGTGTATTGTTAGGTTTATAAAAATTTAGATAGGTTGCTGGATTCAAGAATTTAGAAAGCAATGAATTAATAAATATCCATGGGTAATAAGCGCACATCAAATTAAAGTTTTAAATGATAGCGTTTACAATAGTATCAAAAAATCAAGTCCTAAGAAAATAGACAAACTCTTTATAGGACAATTATAAAAGTTTGTTTCAGAAAAATTAAAGAAAATGTAAATAAATGGAACATTCATAAATTCATAGATTGGAAAATTCATATTACCATAGGAGTGTTCCTTGTATTTATTTGTAGACTATTTCCCTATTAAAATTCCAAGAGGAATATTTGTGGGACTTAACAAACTGATTATAAAAAGTACATAAAATGCAAAGGGCCAGTTATATTCATAGCTCTCTTAAAGATGAATCAGGTGAGAAGACATGCTTTATTTAATAATTCTTTAAGTTATTAAAATACCAATAATTCCAATACGTTGCTGTTGCATGTAGTAAAAAAGTCCTGGGAAAATATTAAATGAAGTAAATAAAATTTTAAAAATAAAATTAAATAAAATTAAAAAGTCAGAAATAGAGCTACTGCTTAAATACGGACAATTGATTTATGAGAGCAAAAATTTGGGGTACATGAGCATTTAAAAATTAGCTAGATAACAAGAGCTTAGTCGTTATTTCAAACCATGAGCATAATTCCAAGTGGGTTAAAGAATTAAATATGAAAGTTAAAATTTATAGTGTCAGGAAAGAATATTTTCATGATCTAAGAGAAACATTTCTTAAATAGGGCATGAAAAGTGCTAATATCAAAGGGATAATGAATACATTTGATGATAACACAAATTAAGGATTTCTGTTCTTTAAAAAATATTTTAAGAATTAAAAGGGTAGTCATAAAATAAAAGATGTGCAATAATTTTATATAAGGATTAATATGAAAAACACTGTATGTAAAGAACACCAGATCAATCAATCAGAAAAAGGCATAGAATCCTATTTTAAGAAAGAGGCAACAGAGACAGTGTCAGAGCCAGGAGCTGAGACCTACAATTGTGATCCCAGCACCCTGGGAGACTGAAGCAGGAGGATCACCAGTTTGTCCAGTTCAGCGACTTAATGAAACCTTGTTTCAAAAAAAAAAAAAAA